ATCGTTTAACTTCAGTATTGTAGATGTTGATATTTCATTATACAAATATGGTCAAACTTTATGAATTTTGACGTCAGACAATTCTTATATGCAGAGTAAAAAAGACAAAAGAGAGTACTTTCAAGAAAAAAGCCACACGTTTTGACACCTGCGAAACTAAAACGTGATGAGCACCAGTGTCAAGACATAGTCTCACTTATGACGTGCATGCACAATGCCAGCGTACCTGAAAATTATATCTTTTCCGAGAAACATATCCTCATGTTCTTTCCTTCTGCGGAATATTTTTTTAATAAAAGAAATATATTAATATCAAGAAGATATTAAATACATCCGATCTCTACACCAGCATGATCTCAAGAAACCACTCAAGAAATCGAGGATGCATGCAGTAAAATTATTAAAAGAAAAGAAAAAGAAAAGGCAACCAAGAGAACAACCGCAACAAACAAAAACAACAACCATCAACCCGTAGGTATCGTGATAGGTGATCCAACAACTATGCCTCTAGGAAAAGAGCAATTTTTATGCATGAGCACCGTTGTCATTGAATCAAACCACTTAGGCTGGATCATGAGTTTTCTACCTAAATTCCATGCAATGCATGCCTTAAACAAGGGAGCACCGTGTGAACGACACCATTGGCAGGTTCAACTAATGAAAGTTGAACCTAGAGTTTTCAATCTTGGAACTCAAGCCTCTGCACACAAAGAACACCACCTAGCCAACGTCACCTTGTGCTGCCACCACCTGCCAATATCCATCATTGCACAGACGCACAGTTCTGACGTGGACCTAGTCACACAATTAAAACATGCCGGCACACATGCTCCTGAGCACCGTGATAAGGATAAGTTCTGATATAAATAATTAGAGTCATGAGTACATGCACCAAGTTGTCAAATTATGGGCTCGCATGCATAGACAGTTTCCGTGCATCTAGCCAACTCTTTAATACTCCATTTGTTTCATAATGTAGTGCATATTTTATATTCACCTCTTTGTTTCAATACAGAATGGGATATATTTAGAATCGTACATATTCAATTGTTGGATAATCTTCGTCGGATCAACCACAAGTTTAAAATGGCTCGGAACTAAAATGAGGCAAGATTTGAGCTTTCCCTTTGGTTTGCCTTGTTCCCCGTTACTTCTAAATTTTTATGTCCCCTTTTCTGATTGTTAGATTAATAAGTATGAATTACATTGTGTTGGAATACCACGGGATGATCCCATAGACACCCTGGCAATTAAAGCAAACAGCGGGACTCATGGCCTTAAGAAATGGACATCGAACTCCTGGGTGATTATCGAGGGATGGATGGACAGGCGAGGGCGAGACACTGATTCACACCGAGACAAAGGCATGAGGCGTTGAAGTCAAACTTTTTCTGAAATCGGGTACAATCATATGTAAGGTCATTGACACGAAAACTACCCTAACAAAGTGGAGATTATGACTACGACTATATACCTTCAAAGTCTTGCCAAAGCCGCAACTGAACTTGTCGCTGTTGCACCACTATAGCTCATGCCAATGATGGACAACATAAAAAAAATCCAACCATTGAATTACCTACAAAGATCATTAGAAAAATAAATCTCGTTGAACCGTTGCAATAGTAGATCATTCCATACGAGGAGATTGACAATCGCGACAAACATAGCGGCAGCGCGGGGGGGGGGGTCACCCTGGTTTAGATAGGTAGCCACGGTAGTATTGCCAGACCAAAGCGACGACTTTGCTCCCAAAGGCTCGAAGGAAGAGGTTGTTGAAGTCAAACTGACAGAGAGAAAAGGCCCAAATTTGATAGTGGGGCTTGTTCGGCAGGGGAAAAAGTATTGGGCGTATGCCCTACCATAGGAACTTGTCGTGAGTAACAGCGAAAGTACTATCGTTAGGAACTTGGGGCAATTGAAGGCTATTCGACATGGATTTTTTTGATCCGGGGATTATC